AGTTGAAGATGTGTGTTAAAGATGGCACCAGCAGGGCCGGCGCTACCATTAGGCAAAACAGGCACTTGACTAGGACGCCAGCCGCTGGGGGGCACCATTCAATGCTGTGTATAAGAAGAGTCAGTGAAGATCCACAGAGAAAGAAAGTGAGATGCAAGCACCACAGGGGCATCACTGCTGTTTCCTGAAATCAGCAGGAAATGGAATGAAGGAGGTGGTATGGGATCTAGAGCACAGACCAGGATCCTGAATGGCAGCCAGGCAGAGTTGGGTAGTGTGGTAGGTGAAAGGACACACTGATTAGCTGCCTCCCTGACAGTGTGCAGGGGCAGGCTGGAGGTTATCAGGCTGCAGACAGCAGGATCCTTCTCCCTGTGTGCACATTACGGTAAGTGCTCAGCTCTGGCACTAAGAGAGGGACCCCAGTCAGCACCATTAGAGTACTACTACATATCTATCACATGTTAACCATGTACCTGCTGTATGCATGTGTGCTTTGAACCTATTGTTTGATGAGTATATTTATAGATGTATTTTTTAACAACTATTACCTATTCTTTATTATCTATTCCCTGCAGTGTATGTGCCACTTGCCTGTAGGGGCTATGATTATTTTGACTAGTTAGCTGTACTGTGTGTGTTAATCCCTTGTCTGCCTTGTCTAGGTTTGTCTACGTTGCCACCTTACCTATAGTGTGGATATGTGTCTTTAATCTCTTCACTTGCTGTGTATGTGTTAGTTGAATTCTTTATTTACACGGTTAATGTTTTTGCTGTGTTTATTATGTATGTACGTACTATGAACTCTTTACTTGCACTGTATATTTAGGGTATATAATAAATATCTTAAGGGGACACTCCACTGCACAAATAAAAAAAAGAAGAAATCACTGTTTAGTGGATATGATTCCAGTGAACATGTCTGTATTTCATTATGCATTGTTTCATTGGGGTTATATCTAAGAACTCTTGTCTGCAGCCTTTGCAAATCCTGCTGAGACTTTCCGTGTCTGTTTAATCACAGGCATTCCAATGCAGCTCAATGAGAAGTCTTTGCAAGGCAGGTGCATAGATATGTTAATTCCTTTGCCTGTAATATGTATACTTTTTTTAAAATGCAAATCATTTTCCATATTCATGGAGAACCTGGCTTTGTATCACATGTGGTACAGTAGTCTGTAGTGTTGCAGCATCTATTACTTTAGCAATAGCCCCATTTGAGTTTTTGTTTTCTGTTCATTTTTTTTCTTTGTAATTAATCTTGCCAAACCTGGCAGCTGCACAGTTTGCACTAATTGAAATCTCTGAAGAAGGCTACCAAAGGAGGTGAGGATTTGTTTTATGTGCATTGCAAGACACTATTGAAGTAGGTGAGATAAACATTGCAGTGATTTATGCATATTGCTTCAGCATCTAAGCTTAGGTAGACCATGATGGGACCTCATTCACCCTAACCTATGCAAATGCTATAAGTGATGGTGATTGATGTGTCCCTTTAATTGTCGAAGGGGGCAACAGAGTAGCCTAGGGTGTCATAAATCCTTGCACTGGCCCTGGGCACAAGACAAACAGAGAGACACCTGATAAGGTGGGATTGAATAGGGTCAAGAGGACAAGTAGTGAGGCAAAAGGAAAGGAGTAGTGCAGCCACCTGTTCAGTAGCTGGGGAGAAGACCTGGAAGTGTGGATAAGTACAGACCATGTGTATCTGAGAGTAGCAAAGGGGGGAGAATTAATTCCTTAATAGATTAAACTTGTCAACAAAATAGGATGCAAATCTGCAACATTAGTTTGTGGATTGAGATTGTGAGAGTGTGAACTAATGAAGGAGGGACATTATGATTTTATAACAAAGTTAAGAGCTGTGCTGTACGAGCGCAAGATTAATTTATAATGGAGAAAGTCTGACAAGATGCTAGACTTCCTCCAGCAGTGCTCAGCTGAACGGGAGCATCTCTGTATGTAGCAGGTAGACTTAGTATGCCATGGTTGGAGGCATTTTCTCCTTGAGGTGTGGGATTGCAGCAAGGCTGCAGCATCCATGGCCGAGGTGAGGGTAGCACTGTAGAAGGAGATAGCCAGATAGGGATGGATACGAGTAGGGAATAGACATCAACTGACAGTTGCTGGAGGTCAAGAGAAGCGTTAGGCTGAGGATTTCGGGTGGGCATTCAAAAACAAAAGATAAGAGATGGTGAACTGAGAGAGGAAAATAAGTGTTACAGAGATTAGAGACTGTGCATGCATCTGTAAAAATATGATTGAGTGTGTTGCCAGCTGAATGCATGGAAGAATTAGCCCACTGGGACAGCCAGAGGGAGGAAGTATTTGAAAGAAGTTTTGAGGCTACTGAGATCAGAGTCCCCAACAATTATGGATGGAATATTATTTGAAAGGAAGTAGGGAAGTCAGGCAGCAAAATGGTCAAGGAAGAGAAGAACCAGGTGGGTGGTAAATAACAATAATGTTTGCAGAGGAGGGACTAAGTTTGGAAAGATATTGCCAGCTGCCCGGAGCAGAAGGATAGAAAGGAGGTGAAGGTAGGAGTAGGATGTAAATATTTGGGATGATAACTTGTATTTGTAGGCTTTAGAAGGAGTTGGTGGAGAAAGGTGGACTTGCATGAGAGAAGTGCATGGGATGAATAAGGAGGGGGGGTGTAAAGCAGGGGCAATAAAGATGGTGTCAAGATGGTGTCAAGAGGAGCAAGTAATCAGAAAGATATAGAGATTTTAGCAATAAGAGAATTAAAGGTAAGGGTGAAAAGTAGAAAGGAGGACATTGTTAGGAGAATTAAGGATTTTATTATAAATAAGGAGCTTAGATGGGAGAATTAAAACCATAGGAAAGAGTGGAGGGGTGAATGGTTGAAAACAGGTGAGAATTGACACACAGTCTGACTCTATACATGAAAAGAAATATCCTCAGGTGTCACATTGGGTGCTAATCTAAAGGGCAGCACAAAAAAAAACAAATAAGTTCCCTCCTATGTGAAGCCAGATTGGGCACATTACTGATTAAAGCAACAAATATAGCTGAGACTGAAAGAATGAGAGGCTTCCTACACAGGAACATCCTGCATCAATTATCACAACTAAAATGGTAAACAGTGGGCGGGATTAAGATCATGGTCTTGCAATCTCTGCTGTTTCCGATTTTCGGGAACAGCAGGGAGTGGCGGCCATCATGGATGTGGCAAAACAGCGGAGGGGCCACAGTTTTGTTCTCATGGAACCCCAGGGTTCTACAGAACACTAGTTGGGAAATGCTGGCTTAGAAGAATGTTTATATATTAGATTATTTATATTAGACTAAATTTTGTCAGCTGGATTTAATTGGCACTTCATCTGCCAGGAGCCACATCAGTGGTGTACCCTCATACACTGAGGTTTATGGAGGATCACATCTCGCTCACTGCATGACAATGGTTGAATGCCACATCCATCTCTTATGATGACTGCTAGGATTGGGCAAAAGTCGATGAACTTTTTGTCAACCTCAGTCTTGCCCATAAAACAAAGTAGTCGTTTGTCTTATGGTATCTTTGGATTATGTTAGAATTTTAATTCAATTCCAACAAAGTCAGTGTGAGTATTTCATAAAGATGATCTTTTTATGAAATACTAAGAAGTGACAGAGGCTCTTTAAATAAAACATCAAAAAGAAACATTGTTTTTATTCATATCAGCAAGTCCTTGATCTTGTTGATGCACACAATGTACTAACATGTAGACGTTCGACAAGGGAATAGAGGTGGGTGTACATGTATGGGTAGTAAAGGAGTTAAATCACTAATAGATACACAAACATACTAAGCTTAGATTAGATGTTTCTTCACCTGATTTTGTTACAGTTGAATTATAGCCCTTTTTCTGCGGATTGATTATATATTGATGTTACTGTTAGTTTGTTTGCTCTGAACAAATACAAATAAAACATTGTGTCTTACTGACAACGAAATTTACAGGTAAACATTTTTTTTGATGATGTGTTTCTTTGATCGATGTCTAATCAGGAAGCCAGTAACATCCAAATACCAACAACCAAAGTCTATAAATAATTCAATGCCTCAACTAAATGCTATCCACTATAGTGCAAGTGATACATTAGATGTTTACAAATGTTTATAGTAATTTTGGAATTGTTGGAACTGTTTGGAACTGTTCCCTGAGGCTAGAGTACTTTTTCTGTACCATTCCAGGACAAGTGGTTAGGAAAATTCTATAATATCATGATAGTCATAGAACGGGAATGTGATTTGTTATCTGAGAATCAAACCATTACAAATGTAAAGGATTGGATTAACCCAAGTATTTTTGCTTTATATACACTATAAAGTAGAATTGGATAATTCTTCAGGTCAAACTGTAATTCGTCTGGATTTGGGTCAATTGGGTGTTTGGTGAATTTCCTAACTCCACGCAGATATGTATCCGAATTATGGACCACCCAAAACGCCCAATGTTGAACATGTTTGAGATGGCTCATGATTCTGAATTCTGCACATGGCATCAAAATAAGAGATGATTGATAGGAAAGAAAGATGATTGATGGTTTAGGTACAGTCACTGAATAATAATAACAAAGTATTTAACAAGGAAAGGTACATTCAGGTTGTTCTGATTTCCAAGTACGTTCCTGGGGATGTTTCTAGTGTCACTACTACTACTAAATGTTGATTTTATAAACTGATCAATAGAGGTAGAAAAGGAGGTAAAATAAATCTATATTTATATATTATATATTTAATAAATATGTAATATATAAGTATTGGTTACTTTTTCTCACTTGATCGGTGAACTAAATGGTGGAAATATGCATCTATCAGTGTACTGCAAAACATATATATATAATGTTATATTCCTATTTTCACGCTTTTCGTTTGACCTGATTTGATTCTCGAATCAGAATCTCGATTCTGAAATTCTGCCAAGCAGAGCTAACCTAACGTAAAATGTTCTACTTTCCAAAAAATGGCTTGGCTGAGCCATTGTTCTGGCCATGCACAAGTCTACTATAATGTTTATAGTGGGGCATCTTTGATCATTTCTCGAGAAGTACTTTATACCTTTAAACAGCTTTTTAAGTAGCTGCTTTGTGTTTTTTGTTGCATTTGTATATACTGTATAACATATGTAAAAATAAAAACATTGTTAATATGACTTTCAACTCATTGAGTTATCTAGGAAAAAAGTAAAAATAGGCCTCTGGGGATATTGGGTTGCATATTGATGATACGAATTTTAAGTAGAACTTTTTTTGTGAGCAATATAATAATAAAATATCTAAAATAAGAATTGTTATTATAAATACAATGCATTGTGCTCTGAGTACAGTTAATCCATGTGCAATGTGCAGTGTTTATTCCTGTAAAAATAAAGGTTTTTACTATTTTAATTCTAGATCATTAGTATAGTTAAAAAAATGTGCGTAAAAAAGTAAAATAGTAATATAGCATGATGACCTGTTTGTATGTAACTGAATGTACAAGAGACAGCATCTCAGTGAGTTTGCCTGTTCCACTTGTAAGTATCTGTAATAATAAACTAAATACTTGTCTAATGCAAGAATGTTCATCAATTTCTGAAATTTGAATCATATCTCATAGGTAGCTCTTTTCTGACACAGAAAGGTGACAGTGAGACAAATGGAAAATAGAAGAGTATTGAATCAAATGATAACGGTTTTATCAGATTGGCACAATGTGGGTGTCCATCAACCCACATTATTAGTTAAGATTGACATTGAATGTTCTTGTTTTATATTCAGAAAATTCAGCTTTAACTTATTCACACTTGGATTACCCCTGAGTGCTTCTTAATAAAGAATTTGGATAATGCAATCTAAATTTTCATCTGTAACTTCTTAATACTTAATTTTTAAAACACACATTTTGAAAGAACATTACCCACACAGTAGCTGGGAGCCATAAATTGCTGTCAATTATTACAACTTTATATGGATATAGACTTCAATGTAGTATTGAACCCATCACCAATAAATATACTTAACTGGTGGTTATGGTGTTGTGGGTATTTTGATCTCCGATAAATCACGTGGGAGTAAATTGGAAAGGATGTCCAAATACTCTTCCAGTTACACCAAAGAGAGGAACCATAGCAATATTTAAGAGGGAATCTGGGAAGGGTGGGATCATGGCGTTTTTAAATTTGTAGTTTGTTTAATGTGTTTTATATTGCGGTCCCTAAAGAAGCACGCTATAGGGGGAAATACATAGGACCATTCTGTTGTTTATTATATTGGAATACATTTATTTTATATTTTTAATAACTTGTTTGCCATACACAACTGTTGTCTATATCCACAATTTGGGAGAAGAATCTCAAAGCTGCAGAATCCTATCCCCCCCCCCCATGCTTTGGGGGAGGCACCGTTAATAAATATCTTGTGAGTGCAATTTTAATGCAGAGTTTTATTGGTTTTATACTATTATTATTATTGCATGCTTTTTGTCTTTGTTTATAGCTGCATCCCCATACTGTTAGTTTTACATGGAAAACACGATTTGTTTCTGGTTAATAAAGAGGTTTCATCTCCATGTTCCAAAAATGCTTGTTGAATGCAAACAGTATTGCTGCAGGTAAATATAATGACCATATTCAGTAAATATAGCTGCCTAGCTAAATTCAGATCTCTGCATCAGAAAGGGCATGAGAGACTCACATATACATTATGCCTTAATCATCATCATTGTCATCGTTTTGTAAAAAAATTACATATTATTTCTAATGTATAAAACAGTGAAAATCACTTATGACGTGTGTTAACCTTTTTTCACGTGTGCTAAAGATTAAGCAATTGACGTCACGATCTAGTTCAGTCCTGGCACAGCCAGGGCACACTTGGCATTGTAGGAGGAGACATAAAAACATTGTTTCCATTTCTCTGGCTCCACATATTATGTTCAATAACAGAGGAAAATAAAAAAAAGGAACAGGGAGCAAAGATGGAGGAGTTCAGTTTTAAGGATAGAAGTAAATAAAGAAATGTGAACTTCTACAGTTAATTGTATTATTCCAGACCTCACACAGATTTATTAGACATAGGGGATGTGTTGCTCAGGTGCACTGCCTGAATTGATCTGGCAGAGGAGATCATTTATAGTCCTTTTGAATGAAAATGAATTTATCAACCTGATAATGTCTGCGTTGGAGAGCTGACGATGTTAAGTGTTGTTTATTGTTATATATTAGGATTTGCATGCATAGCACTATAAACACAACCTCTCATGCTTATAGTCACTGTGCCATTTCATTAAAGGGACACTGTAGGCACAATTCATCTTATTGTATGTATAAACTTGTTTTCTAGCAGACAATTAACAGAGCGGGAGATTATAAATTTTTAATTAAACACAATATGCATCAAAGCATGGAAAATCACGGGAATCAAACTTAACCTACAATGTTAACACTCTAGATTCCTCACATTATTGTCTAACCCTCACATCTGATGGCATGGCATGGCATTGGCTTGCATTGGGGACTATGTAGACCACTCCATTCAAATAATATTAACCAGGACACAATTACGGGACAAATTTCCAACACTCCATATAGCTCTTTTTCCATACCTACAAATTGGAAGTCATCTCACCTCGACTCTACTACACTTTATTGACAACGACTAAGTTCAATACTCAACTAAGTTCATCCATCCTAAGTTTAATGCTCAACTTTACTTTATTGCTGTATTTGAACAATTTTAGGCCATTCCATCTCAGACAGCTGTATATATGTAAGTGGACAGTGTATCTCCCAACTCTCTCTACCAATGACATTCTCTTAGCTATGAATAAACTATTCACATTTATTCTAGTTGCTACAAACAACTGATGGAATTTTACTATTCCATGCCCCAGAGGCCATTTATGACACGTGCCCTTACATCACAATAGGCCATTTGTATGGAAGAGGACCCCTTAGAGCATGGGATATCTTTCTTATGCAGACTGCTTATGACACAGAGGAGGCAACTACCTCCCAGCTTTATGGGCAAATGGGAGACAGCTTTGCGGGAGACCTTCACCCCTGCGCAGTGGCAAATCTCTGCATCACTGTGCAATCTCAAGCAGCATCCAAGAATCTGTCTATAAACTACTGACTCTCTGGTACAAAACCCCACAGGTCCTACACACCATCATCAGATCCATTGATGAGCACTGCTGGAGGTGCGGAAGGGAAGTAGGCACCCTTTTACACCTGTGGTGGAGCTGTCCCTGGATATGACCAATATGGAAAAAGATCTATAAAATTATCCAAAAATTCACTGATGCCCCACCCCCCTTCAGCCCAGCACCACTGCTGCTCCATCACACCAAAATTGGGACTTCAGTCTATAAAAAGTCCTTGACAATCAGAATCCTTAATGTAACTAAGAGCCTGATTTGGTTCCTTTTGGTTCCAATGAATGGAGGAGCTCTGCTCCATGGAGGACCTCACCTACCAATTGAGTGGCAGATCACAGACATACCATGACATCTGGACTCACTGGCTACTTACTACATAGTCAACTGACTTCCAAGCACTCATACAATACACCCTAAAACACATATCTGAGCCAAAATACGACATGCCCCAGTGAGGAGTCTATGTGGAGGTGAGGCAGGGGTGGTGGGGGGAGGGAACCACCACCACATTATTTTTCCCTCTCTCCTTCATAACCTGCTTCCAATATGGCAGCCCATTCTTAACACTACCCATTTCCTCTCCACCCCTCATTTCCCTTTCACCAATGCCTTTAACCTACATCATACCACCAGATAAGAAGAACAAGCTAGATGACAACTAAGTATATGTCTGGCCGGGAATATCGCACCTAACTTTTGACACATTATTCATGTTACTCTGTTCTCAGCTTGAGGCCTGCGAGTCATACTGTTATGCACCAAATCATAGACCTGCGAGTCTACCATTTGTTGAATCACCACGCCTACATTGTAACTTTTTATTGAGAACATCTCAATAAATCTCACTATCTGGTATTCCCTAAAAATATTTTTTTGGGGGTAGGGGACTCCCACTCAGACTGTAGAGAGAGATGGAGAACTTGGTCTCGATGGGGATATTATGTCTTCCTTTTTTGCTAGCTTGGAGACAATGTCCCAACATTTTACAAGGGAAATTAACTTGTTCATCCTACCTGTTCTATCCTCCATAAACTGGCACATGGTTACTGTTTGTTTGTATTTGTTTGACAACTGTTTCTCTGGCGTCTCCTTAATAGTCCCCACTTTCTGATATACATAATGTATGATGGTTTTTGTTCTATTTTTTTGTTTGTTTATCTTATATAGTGATGTCCCGAACGGTTCGCTGGCGAATAGTTCCTGGCGAACATCGCTTGTTCGCGTTCGCCACGGATGGCGAACATATGCGCTGTTCGGTCCGCCCCCTATTCATCATCATTGAGTAAACTTTGACCCTGTACCTCACAGTCAACAGACACATTCCAGCCAATCAGCAGCAGACTCTCCCTCCCAGACCCTCCAACCTCCTGGACAGCATCCATTTTATATTCATTGTGAAGCTGCATTCTTAGTGAGAGGAGGTACAGTGTAGCTGCTGCTGATTTGATAGGGAAAATGATTGCTAGGCTAGTGTATTCAGTGCCCACTACAGTCCTGAAGGACTCATCTGATCTCTCTGACCTCACTACCCCCCACACCCTCAGCCTCACTACCCCCACACCACCCCCAACCTCACTACCCCCCACACCCTCAGCCTCCTGCCCCAGCCTCACTACCCCCCCCACCACCCTCAGCCTGCTACCCCCCCCCACCTCAGCCTGCCTGGCCCCACCTCAGCCTCACTACCCCCCAAACCCTCAGCATCACCACCCCCACACCACCCTCAGCCTCACTACCCCACACCCTCAGCCTCACTACCCCCCACACCACCCTCAGCATCACCACCCTCAGCCTCACTACCCCCCACACCACCCCCAGCCTCACCACCCCCAGCCTCACTACCCCCACACCACCCCAGCCTCACCACCCCCAGCCTCACTACCCCCCACACCACCCTCAGCATCACCACCCCCACACCACCCTCAGCCTCACTACCCCCCACACCCTCAGCCTCACTACCCCCCACACCCTCAGCATCACTGCCCCCCACACCACCCCAGCCTCACTACCTCCTCCTCTCAGCCTCATCACCCCCCAGCCTCCTGCCCCCACACCACCCTGGGCATCACCACCCCACACCGCCCTCAGCCTCACTGCCCCCCCCACACCCTCAGCCTCACTGCCCACACCACCCTCAGCATCACCACCCTCACCCTCACTGCCCCCCCACACCACCCCTCTCGCACCCCCACACCACCCCCAGCCTCACCACCCCTGACCTCCACTTCCCCCCCTGAGCTTACCCAGCTGGCCTCACTGCCCACACACCACCCTCAGCATCACCACCCCCCACACCACCCTCAGCCTCACTGCCCCCCACCCCTCAGCCTCCTACCCCCAAACCCTCAGCATCACCACCCCCCACACCACCTTCAGCCTCACTACCCCCACACCCTCAGCCTCACTACCCCCCACACCACCCTCAGTTGTCTGCAAGCATGTGTGTCAGGCCTACAGCGTCTACTCTTCCAACTTCTGCCACTGCACAGTGCCACTCATATCTGTTGTCACAGTAGCTTGCACGCATAGTACCACTAATCGGAAAAAAAATGACAGGCAGAGGCAGGCCACCCCGCAGGGGCCATCGTGGTCATGGTGCTGTGATTCCCTTTGGCCCTAGAATAATGCCCAGTGTTCAGAGGCCACGTACCCTGAACTCGAAAAGTTCTGAGGACATAGTTGACTGGCTAACACAGGACACCCAATCTTCTACAGCTTCCGCTCGGAACCTTGACACACCATCCTCTTCCAGCTTAGCTTTGGGTGGGGAGGCTGAGGGTGGTGGTGAGGCTGGTGGGGGGGATGGGAAGGCTAAGGGTGCTGGTGGGGGTGGGAAAAGTGGGTGTGGGAACTGAGGGGGGAGACTGGGGGGTGGTGGGCTGGTGGGGGGTGGGAAGGTGGTGAGGCTGGTGGGGAGCCTGAGGTGGTGAGGCTGGTGGGAAGGCTGAGGGTGGTGAGGGCTGGGGTGTGAGGCTGGTGGTGGGGGGGGGCTGAGGGGTGGTGAGGCTGGTGGGGGGTTGGGGAGGCTGAGGGTGTGTGGGCTGGTGGGGGAGGCTGAGGGTGGTGAGGGAGGCCAACCTTCTCTTCCCTGGTGGTCCAGTGGCCACTTCTTACGGTCTGCAGCTCCACAGACCTGCAGACCATGTAATATCGCGAGACCATTAGAGAGTTGCCGTGGAAATCCGCGGCAACGCTCTGATTGGCCAATTCTCGCGAGACACATGGTCTGCAGCTCTGCTCACTGCGGAGCTGCAGACCTGTGTCTGCGATGGTGGCCGGGCAGCCAGGAGGGGCCTCGCACCCCTCCTGGTGTCAGGTCCTCGGTCACTGAATGAGGACCTGACACAGTCTGCCATAAGGCGGTTTAGGCGGCCGCGAGACCCCAGCCAGCGCGAGGCCTTAGGCGGCTGCCTAAACCGCCTAATCAGAGAGCCGCCTCTGTTTGTGGTTGTTTGCGGTGCGTTAAACGGGGAGTTTGGTTTGTCACTGTGAAGCGGGCGTAACCCTTACACTACCTGATCGATACAACATCATACCTGATGTTTTAAAGCATGTTATTCCAAACAATTTAGGAATGTTAGGTGATTTATGCCCTTTATGGATTAAAACGAGACTCTGCATCAACTATGTAATTTTCCATGGGAGTTTTGCCATGGATCCCCCTCCGGCATGCCACAGTCCAGGTGTTAGTCCCCTTGAAACAACTTTTCCATCACTATTGTGGCAAGAAAGAGTCCCTGTGGGTTTTAAAATCCACCTGCCTATTGAAGTCTATGGCGGTTCGCCCGGTTCGCCGGTTTGCGAACATTTGCGGAAGTTCGCGTTCGCCATTCGCGAAACGAAAATTTTATGTTCGCGACATCACTAATCTTATATAAATGGAATCAGTCATCTATGGTATTCAGAAATGTAATTCCAATACACATATTGCTGCTGACACTGGACATAAGTTCCAATAAGAAATGTTTGAATAATAATAACAATTTGCAATAAGGGAAGTTTGAAAATGTAGACTCTTCTTCATGATGTGTGTAAGGGGCTTTGTAAGTCTCAGGCAGGGGTGTGTGATCAAGGCTGCATATAAAAAGTCATTTAATGCCTAACCAGCATATAATTGAGCAAGGACACTGCAGGGGCATGATCTAAAGACCAAAACCAGTCCAATAATCTGAAGCTGTTTTGGTGCGTTTTGGAAACATGAGCTACATGAGTAAGAATTCTGATGATATTTTCTTCAATATTTCTGCATCAATCAGTGAGCAGAGGCGACGGTTTAATGCATATAGGTGTAAGCAGTCATGCATATGTTATATTTCCATGACAATTTCTCATACAGCGAATTCATTTTTATTTCTAAAGAACAGCTTTTTTTCCTGTTACTTTCCACCACCGCAGAAATCAGACTTTGAGATACATAGGTTTAGACAAGCTCAGCAGCTAAATACAGAAACCAGTGATGAGAATCATGTCTGCTTACTGCAAACGGCTGGACGGCGTGAATATACTCGACAAGAGAAATTTGTATGCAAATGCTACAGATGCGTTCATCTGCAAACCTTAAACAACAGGCCCTTGGAGAAACAAGGACAAGTGTGGTCAAATTACTGCACACTGCTCATATTAATGATGCTCAAAGTAAGAGAGCAAAACCTGGGACTTTACTCAATAAAGTGTAGGGTAGGTATTTACATTTCTTGTCAGATAAAACATGAAGCTGGGTCATCAGTGTTTTGAACCTTTTCATATTCAACAGCTGTTGTTACAACTGCAGGTGATCTAGAATTACTGCATGTAGACACACATTGTGTCTCTTTGAAAGACCAAAGACTAACATATAACATTGCTAACATAGATGGTGACAGCAGATCGTGGTGATTTGCCCGTCTGGTCTTTCTATGTTATATGTAACTTCAGCAGCTGTAGTCTTGATTTTGTTTACTGATCAAGATAGCAGTGTTCCTGTGCGAAGCATCCTTGAACTTATCTGCTGTATTACAGAGGTGTTTACTAAAGTGAAAACTGTCAGGAATTCAAAGAGAATTCAAAGCGAGTTTCAAATTTAAGGCCAAAGTAGCTGTCCTGTAAGCAGAGCCAACTTGAAGAATTATTCTAGTCGTGCTACTGCGGCCTTTAAATACAACATGAATTCCCTTTATATTTATGACAGTTCTCATTTTAGTAAATAACCCTGCTAGTCTCTACCAGGAGAGTATTATCTGACATTATCCTTAGATATTTCAACTTCAACATTTGCTGATCTAGATACCTACATATTTCTAGAGGAACTATCTTAATGTTCAACAGTTACATTTTGTGAGTTTCTTTCTGTTCCAAGCTGTACTTGGTTAAAGATGATATGTGCTGGAATGCTATCTTCTTCTGTTTCTCTGTATTGTGCCGGACATTGTCAACGTGTTTCTCGGCCAACCCTTGAGTGGCCTGCAGAGTCTAGTCATTTATGGTGGAAGAGAGTCTCTTCTGCTTCCTCTGTCTCGAACTTAATCCCACAAATTTCTTAGTTTGTGCATTCAGTGTTGAGGAAAGTAACACCCACGTAATATTTATTTAATTTGGCTGCATTTTTCTGCAAATATGTTTTGTTGTTCTTGTTTAGACAGCAGCATTTTGCCTCCTCAACCCCTGGATATACATTTGTTTTGGTAGTACTCTGTCAAAGTGGCCTTCTGTAACTCGGTCCATATAATGTTTATGCACCCAGTTATTAATGTATACAATGAATAAAATGTTACTCCAGTTCCAAAAAATGCAAGTATGCGGAAAAGAAAAATAAGAAAAATTGCATATTTAATTCAATTAAATTTAAAACATTAACTCAATGGGTATGATGAATTAATGTGAAGTGGTTTTAGGTGAAAAGCTGATCTACAGGAAGATAAAAAGATAAACAACCATGAGTAAGTTAGTAATTTAATAAAAATTACTTCCATGTTGCTTAAAAAAGACAAATAATTACTTATCAGTAGAGCTAGTTAACAAAATGTGCAACATTTAACGAACTTAATGAACCTTTATTTTATTATCTTGCTACAGTACATTTCATTTCCAGATGAACTGTCATATTAATGGGAATATTTCATTTTCTAAAGTATTTTGGTAAAATGAAGGGTAAATGTGAGTTTGCACACATAATTTTTAAAGGAACTAGCGATGTGCATGGGCAAAAAATTTGGTTCAGTTCAGGTAAGAAATTTGGATAAGAAAAAAAAAATTAGGCACTTTGGCAATTCGGTTCAGCACTTCTGAAATCTGGAACTGTAGCAATTCGGGACTTTGGCAATTCGGGACTTTGGCAATTCGGGACTTTGGGATTTGGAACATCTTTAGGGCTCCCTACCCCTAACCCTACCCATACCCCTACCCCTACCCCTAACTCCACCCCTAACCTAACCCTAGACCTGTCATTATTCACGTAATTTTGCCTCCCTCTCTTGTTTTGCCACTTTTCCGAAATTCAGCACTTCGGCAATTTGGTTCGGCACTTCCAAAATTCGCACTTTGGAAATTCGTCAGTTCGGAACCATTGTCTATGTTAATTGTAAAAACTGCAGAATACAGTGCAAAATACAAAAGCTTGTCCCCCTATAAATTGGAAATCCACAGCAACAGCTTTACCCAAATCTTGTAAAATGAGGTTTTAAAAAAATATGCTAATGCACAAAATACTTTGGTTGTTTGGTCAACTTCCTCTTGTTTGATCAACCTTTTATGTCCATTTAAATTTTTTTAAATGCATTTATTATATTGGAATAAAAGATTTGTGAAATTATACCAGCGTTACTCTTTACTTGATGTTACCCTTTGTGGAGTCAGGAATGATTCTGCTCCATAAAATGACCTTACGAGGAGCCAGTACTATCATTGCTGCACAAGGTAAGACTGCTCCATATGTTAAGTGGGAGACTTCCAGACTTAGTTTGTAAACCCCTTCAGCAGCTTACCTTAATCCAGCGCCGGGCTCCATCGGCGCTGTTGACCTCTCCTCCCCCACCGACGTCAGCTCCCCCGTCTGACGTCAGGGGAGTCAAATGCGCATGCGCGGCAAGTGCCGCGCTCGCATTCAAAAGTGTCCATAGGAAAGCATTTCTCAGTGCTTTCCTATGGACGCTCTGTGCAATGGAGGCATAATATGCCTCCAGCGTCGCAGATGCGCCTCTAGTGGCTGTCAGGAAGACAGCCACTAGAGGCTGGCTTATCCCCAAATGTAAACATAGCAGTTCTCTGAAACTGCTATGTTTGCATCTGAAGGGTTAAAACCTGAGGGACCTGGCACCCAGACCACTTCATTGAGCTGAAGTGGTCTGGGTGACTCTAGTGTCCCTTTAAATAAAGCTGTGGCATTTGTCCCACCATAAAAGACTGTCTGTGTTTTGGATGGTGTAATGAACTGTTTTAATTATATGAATTATTGACAGTATGAGACCCAGGTTCAGTATGTTCTAGCATATACAGTCTGCCAATACAGGAATGGTTAGTTTACTGAAAACAGATATTTTATAGCTGCAACCTAAATTTAGAGGTGTTTTATTGTATAGTCATGCCCTCACTGAGATGAGGAGATGTATCTGAGCAGGTGTATAAAATACCCTCTAGAACCCTGGCTCTTTTTAGTTGCACAAATTGGCACATTTATTCAGGGGAGGGTTAGTATGCTGGGCAGGGGGCAAATACCCCATGGCTACTTGCATTCAAGGATTGTGGGATGTAGCCTCACACCATTTTTGTGAATTTTAACAATGGGAAGAGTTTTAAGTTTTATATTGGGATGAACTGCAGGAGTTAGGCAGCCAACAGAAATTGTGCACATGGCCTTACTGCTACAGTAATCAATGGGTTTGCCTGAAGGTGCAAACCCAATCTCAATGGGCTGGACTGGTCACTGGGATATTTCTTGAGCAACTGCCGTATCTGTAATGAGTTCAGGTTACCAGGCTATGAAGTGCATGAATAACATCCATGAAGGGACTGCATGGTGCGATGAAAGTTCTTATGATATTGATAAATGATACTGCTTGTTACTGTTTGTAATGGAGTCATGGTGAATGAAGTGTGTATCTCTTGGGCATTTACAGATCTCTTTGAATGTCCCATACAATACTTTTTTCTATTTTATGGCACAACTGCCCATAGATGGAGCTCCATGGCTAAGATGGAGTGCAACTAAGCAAGCGTTATACCAATCCATGCCAATGGATAGGCTGAGTTCTCCCAGGGAATGGACACTGCTTATCACTGCCACCCCATCACTGTTCGGGTTAATGTGCAAGGGTTACCCTGAGCAACAGAGAATATTAACAGGGTTGTAAGCATCCTGCAAACCTCCTGCATTTTGAAAGAATTTGAAAACGATTGAGCAATGAAAGGTGGAGGGTCGCCAGTGGACTCCAGGCACCATAACCACTTTAATTAAGATGATGTGGTCATGATTCCTAGAGCTTCCTTTTACGCGAAATAGAACCAACATGGCCTTTCTATGAACTAAGAGTTTGAAAATCAAAATGGTAATGAGAAAAAAAATGGAAGGCACATTAAAAACAGAATTATCTGTGACTGTAGAATTTAAAGACAAGTCAGCAGAAAACCATATGAAAGAGAAAGAGGCATTAATTGGCTTTTCTTCTCTTTATTTCTTCTTAGAAGGACTTCAATTTACTTTCCAGGAAACACGCTATTGCCAAGCATTCAAGTCTAGTTTGATCTGGTTCCGGCTTTGACTTTACCAGCAAGAAAAATCGTTCCCATTGTCCATATTTCTAAGATGCTGATTAAATAGTGTTAATGAGGTTTAGGGAACAGCAAGTTAATATTGATGGGAACTAATTGTGTTTTGAATTATCTTACACTAAAACAAAGATGCTTAATAAAGCTCCAAGCATTCATTTATCTTCTCTCCTTGGCATACGTTAGCCAGGGTATTCTGTGTGGCTGGTTTTACGGACAAGGAATTACTTTATAAATTTTTGGACTTTTTTAAAGTTATTTACTCAACGCCAGGCAGATGGACTAAAACTGATATGTATTTTTCGAGACACATGCTGTTTTATACTCTGTGGCATGCCATGTTTGTTTGGGCTGTTTAGTTTACCAGGCGTGGCGTACAACTGGATTCAGGTTATATTTTTCCTTTTTGGAGATTTTATATGTATTAGATGTAGTTGATAAAGAAAATTTGTTGTATTTAGGGTTTCCTGTATCTGTTCTGTTTATCAATTTGCTGGGGGGAAGTGGGGTTGGTGGCTATGTCTCTGGACTAGATAAGGAATGTTGGTGATCAGATATCATATAACACATTTGTATTTTCCTATCTTGTGACTATATATATATATATATATATATATATATATTTTATCTATACCATTATATATGTGTTTAATTCCTGTATACATATATAAAATAAAAATAGGACATAAAACATATCCATCATGAGGTCTAGTAAATATTTATTTTTCTGATCAATTTCACACACATTCACACCAAATTCAAAAATGTAATGCTGTGCGTCATCTTCATATCTCAAGTACCACTGTGGGAAAGACCACCTTTGGCACAGTAATTCCCAAAAATCATGTTTCCACATTTCTCCCAGAATTCCTAGCTTGACATGCAAATGAGCGCAAGCTCCATTCAGCATTTTTGAAGTCAACTTTAGTACTGGAGCTCTGCATATTTAAAACATTGATTCCCCATGGGAAAGCATTGGATTGGCAAAAAATCGGCAATTGTGATGATGTCACCAAAGGGACAGGACCAGTGCCAGCGGACTGGAAATAAGGTGAGTTTTTCATGCTTTTAAAGGGGTATGGTGGAAGCAAGCCACCTTAATGGTAGGTTTTGCACTATAATACAGGAATACATGGTTGTGTTTCTGACCCTATAGTGTTCCTTTAAGCTACCTGGGACACATGTACAACATTATATGTCCTTTAACTTTGTTTTATGTGATTTAATATTTTAAAACAGCTTTTCAATATGTTAATGCTTGTATTTAATAAACTGTCAGGCTGATGTCAGCTATAAGTGAGGAAGAAGGTATCCGGCTGAATTTTTACCAATAAATGGAAAGCTGACAATAAATTATGGGAGATAAATATTTCTCTAGTCAAAGAATTCAGCTCCAGGAATAAGATGCAGCACTGTAATAATTATTATTGTCTGTAATCCTGTTACAGCTGTTACAACTGAACAGTTTGGCTATAGATGTAATGAATAATATTAGCGTCGATAATTTATTTGGAGTATTGTACCTTCTGAACTGCCCGATATACTCCGCACCAAAGTAATATCACTTGCTACAGTTTAAATGCATAATAATTTTTACATATCAACAAGGTTACACACAGTAAAACAAACACATTTGCAAAAGCAGACACTTAATCTAACGCAATTTAAGTCCTAGCCACCTACCAGCAATTTTTTAACAGTTTCAGTTTTTAAGAACCCATTTCTGTAAGGTTTGCGCTGACTAATTTAAAATTATAACACTCAATTAAACTAACTCACAAAGCATAAACTTTCTTCAATAACTTGTCTATTATTTTAATGGCTGAATAATATACTTGTGCACAACAATAACATTTGTAGTTTTGTTTTTGTTTTTTTGAAACTGCAAAGCAAGAAACAAACGGAACGGCTTGGCCATTGCCCATTACATTTGTTATGCGAGTCCTCCACATGGTTTTTTGGATTTGCAGAATTTGGCCAAATCGCCAATTGCCCAATTGCCCAAAATTCGTACGTTTTATTTTAAACTGAACGCACAATTCCAGCAAAAAATATTTAATAACTCTCTAACGCCATCCATGTGGATCTTGTAACTAACAGAGATGATATCACCTCTTGATAATGAACAAAACAAGGTTTTGCAATATACATCATTATATGCAATATACAAAACTGATCAGTTACGTTTCAGTGCAACCATAAGATTAACGGAACCCTAACCTTAGGACTGGATTGGTGGGGGTTACAATGTTAGATATTTACACCTGCTGCCATTCATTCAACTCCTTTACCAATAATGATATATCTGCAGAGGAGCTGGGGAGACAGAATCACGACTGCCTGCATCTTCCGAACTCCTTTCCGAATTATCGTATCTTTATACATATAGCTTGGAGATACCGTGCTTGTCCAGTAATGTAAAGCATATAAGAGGAACATTGCAGTGAACAGTAATATATTTTCATTTGACGTACAATGCATATTAAAAGGTTTTTTATTTTAGTTTTTACTGGATATTAAAAGACATGCTTTCAAGTGTTCTCTCTCTTCTTCCGGTCAGATTCCGGCAAGATTGATATAATGGAATTTAATATTAGTAACTTGATATTACTAAATACTGATTATGGAAAGGGAGTGTGGAATGTTGTGAATAGCAGAAGACAGACAATAGGAGGTAGGAAACAATCGGAATAAGTCAGAGGAGAAACCAGACAAAATAGACATAACAGACCTAAAATCAGAGATTAACATGTAATGAAACGTCTATATAAAAAGTCCAGAAAGGGGTGAGTGGGTTTAATGTGAATGCTGACACAGTTTGCACAGTTAACCTAGTTATGGATAATATAGAAGAAATGTCTTTGAATACACGTTCACACAAAGTTTCTTATTTCTATTTGCGATACATATTTTTAAATAACAAAAGAAGGAAAAAAAAAACTACATGTCTAGAAATAATTTAACTAATTACTGGTCTTATATAGATGCGTAATGGGGCGCTATAGGCACCCAGACCATTTCATTTCATGGCGTGTTCTGGGTGCGTTATCCCTGTCCCTTTAACCCTCTAATGCAAACCATTGCAGGTTCACACAGCCTCTAGTAGAAGTCTACCAGACAATCACTAGAGGTGCTTCCAGTAGTTTCTCTGAGTTTAACTCCATGAAACAAGGGTGGACATCGAGCGTGTTAAAAAACTCCATAGGAAATCATTAATTCAGTGCTTCCCTATGGGGAAGGCCTAATGCATGTGAGGCGTTCATTGCATTAGGTTCCTCCCCATCGCTGTCAGAGGGACCTCTGTGTTGGAAAGAGGTTAGTGTTATAGATGATATATTAAACCTTACACTCAAACCCTGCACTTAACCCTGCACTTTATGTAGAACAAAAAACAAAAAAAGTTACCTGCTCACATTTCCAAATCTCTATGCACCCTTTGACTTGCCATGTCCAGGCAAACATCTTGGTGAGTCCTACAATAACAATTCTCCTTGCTGTATTCTCCTAGCTAAAAGGCAAAATCTTTAATGAGACAGATAGGGGTATTTTTCACTTACACACTTATTAACCCTTAATAGGGAACACGTGGGGTGTGCGGCAGCATTGTAACATGACAGTGTAATACAAACACAAATACAAATATACAAAATTTACTCCTGAGCTCAAACTCCCACTACTCCTGGGCAGCAGCAACTAAGACGTTTGCCTTGATATGGCAGATGAGCTTACGCTTTAATGACCACTGGAGTGAAACTAAAAAACGTATCACGTAATAATTTTTTTTTAAATGTATTTAGAAGTCCAACTTCTCATTTTCTGGGTTTGTGTACGAAGCCAATAGATAGAACCATGGCATTCTATAATTGTACACATATAGGACACAGCAAAACCATATGTGTGTATGTGTATACACATACTTTCATTGCTGTGCTATGGAGTTAAACGTTTGGTGAGTAGTTCAGTTAAAGAGGATACTATATGCAAGATTCATACATAACTGTAGCTTAAGCATAAATGTCTGATGAGCTGGTTTCCTAATGTCGCCAAGATCTATTAATTAAAGTAAGGTGCATTTTATTGCCCTGAACATGTACAGAATATGTGTCTGCAAAGCTAATCTGTTCTCTAAAGTGCTCCACTAATGTTCCCGCATCACCATTCAATGAGAAATGCTTGATAATGCGCGTACTACAAAAGGATACATTTTTAATATGGAAATTCATCCCGTGAAGTTGTTATAAGATTATATACTGCTCTGTGAAAGAGCACTGCAATTATTTTTAACATTGTAATTTGTAGGTGAAACGCAAATATATTTAGCAAGAAAGAGGTCCATAGGAATTTGAAAGAAAAATTAGGATTTTTCTTTTAAAGGTATAGTGAGCGTTATGACATGTTTTATATTTGAAACATTCCTTGCAAAATGCTATGATAGAAGTCACACTATTATTTCAGGGTGATACCAATAATCTGGCCACAGTTAAAATTACTGGCTCACTGGTAAAAAAATCTAAAGGTTCAGAGATATGCTCAAATATAGAGTTTGTTACAGAGACTCCATAATTAGCCTTTGTTCACTTCTATGTTTTGGGATGAGAGAAAAGTACATTTAAGTTTCTGCAGGAGATTCCATGAACGTTCTGTTCGTTTTTCACCATTTCAGAAAATCCAAACCAACTGCTGATGTACAGTGTACGTCTGTTTTCATTAGACTTGTGTAAAAATGTGTTGTGTCCATAAACAAATTGATTAATCTAAAGCAAAATCCTTTTAATGATTTTCTACAGAAAAAAAACTACTTATATACTGTAAGCGTTGAATCGGCTGGATGTGACTTAAAAGGATTTTGCTGTTGGACGAATTGATTCCCTTATGGACTCACTAAACACATTTTTGCACAAGTCTAGTTGTTATAATTCACTTAGTGACAAGGAATGAACTATGTGAATATATTGCCAAAAGTGTTATTTAAAAGCTGGTGTTTCCGCAGTCAGAGACCAGACTATTTCTAGATGTCCCACAAGTGAGACATCACAGAAATAGCGTTTTAGAGGTCCCTGCAGGCATTCTTTATGACAGCCAACCCCAATCACTGACAGCCACAATGGGCACAGGCAGTTTTAACTTTATATGACAACATTGCCTCAATTGTACTTTGCACCATGCTGTTACAGGAAGCCTCTGAACTGAGATTTCCAGTAACAGCCTAGAATGTCAGTGAAATGACATTGATTTGCAGCGACATTCAGTCACAGGGATTATATGCCATTGGTGATAACTGATACTCGGCTGCATTAGGGTATTCCAGGATCAGTTGACATTGTTCTATTAGTGGGCAGTCCAGTAACAGTGATTGATTGTCCCCCAGGCTGCCTGATCGCTGTTGGAGCCAATCACGATGACAACAAGCTGTCATTGTCAATTAAGGCTTGTCATCATTTTGATTGGCTTTTATAGGAATCCGTCAGCCTGGCACTATTCTACTAAACAGTGTATTACTAGGGTCAGTAAGAGTTAGCGTTAAAAAAATAAGGAGTTAGCAAGGGGTAGATAGGGTCAAGGCTAAATAGGGTTAGATAGGGTCAGGGTTCAGTATGGATAGATAGGGTCAGGGTTAAATCATGTTAGATAGGGTGAGGACTAAATAGGGTTCGATCGGTTCAGGGCAAAATAGGGTTAGGTCGAGTTAGGGTTAAATTGGGATAGATGGGGTCGGGGTTAAATAGGGTTAGATCGGTTCAGAGTTAAATATGGATAGATAGGGCCAGGGTTAAATAGGGTTAGATAGAGTCAGAGTTAAATAGCGTTAGATCGGGTCAGGGTTAAATAGGGTTAGATAGATTCAGAGTTAAATAGTGTTAGATCGGGTCAGGGTTAAATATGGATGGATAGGCTCAGGGCTAAATAGGGTTAGATAGGGTTAAGGTTAAATATCGTTAGATCGGGTCAGGGTTAAATAGCGTTAGATAGGGTCAGAGTTAAATAGGGTTAGACAGGGTCAGGGTTAATTAGCATTAGATAGAGTCAGGGTTAAGTAGTGCTAGATAGGGTCAGGGCTAAATAGGGTTAGATAAGGTCAAGGCTAAATAGGATTAGATCGGGTCAGGGCTAATTAGGGTTAGATATGGTCAGGGCTGAATAGGGTTAGATAGGATCAGGGTTAATTAGCATTAGATAGAGTCAGGGTTAAATAGGGTTAGATAAGGTCAGGGCTAAATAGGATTAGATCGGGTCAGGGTTAAATAGGGTTAGATAGGGTCAAGGCTAAATAGGGTTAGATAGGGTCAGGGTTAAATAGAATTAGATAGTGTCAGGGCTAAATAGGATTAGATCGGGTCAGGGCTAAATAGGGTTAGATAGGGTCAGGGTTAAATAGGGTTAGATAAGGTGATAGTTAAACAGGGTTAGATAGGGTCAGGGCTAAAAAGGGTTAGATAGGGTGATGGTTAAATAGGGTTAGATAAGGTGATGGTTAAATAGGGTTAGATAGGCTTGGAAATAGTGTCAAAGTTTGATCCTAATGAGTATGGTGACAGGGGTAGTCAGGGGTAATTTAGGGTGAATTTGGAGGCTGTATCCCTATAGATGTCACACAGGTGTTGTTTCAACATCCTCGTATAACACGGTACACTGACTGTGATTGCTAACTTAATAAATTATTGTCTTGTCTAAAAAACCTTAAATAGACTAACAAGCCTATATCTCAATATAAGAGTACCTGTTAGTCAAAGTGTGCACAATGTTTCCAATCTCAAATAGAAACAGGTGATGTAGCCAATACTTGTTGCAAATACAGTCTACATTCACAGACTGCCAAATCAGTAAAAGTAATGTAGTAAGAAATATAGAGTAAACACAATACAGTGGCTTTATATAATTTACTGTCCTTGGCAAACACCCTTCTGTGAGGGATTATCATTCTAGTAAGATTTTAGAGGGAACGCAGTGTTAGTATATTATGTTCACTGGTAGAATTAATGAATCAATGTTCTTCCAGAAAATTGTCTCTAAGTCTATAACCTAACCTCCTAAAGTCTCTCCACCCAACTTTTACTAACATCTCCTCTTTCTATAGTCTCTCTTATTCCTACCCTATGTTTTTGCAAAAACAATTTCTGTATATATATACATATGATTGATAACCTCCAGGTTTTTTTCCACAGTTCATTTTTTAATGTCCAGATCGAAACGTGTTCCTATAAAATTAAATTCTTCAAGTATTGTATCCATGTGCAGTTTTTCTGGTCAGACATAACAGGTTTATGTTCCTCTAGACAAATCGGCCAAAAGTAGTATATTTTCATGACTTCTGATAACAGAACGACCGTGGGAGCCATATTTTTCCTCCTGACCTCTCTCAAGATTGCTGAGAAGTGATATAGTTGAGATCCCATGACATTTGTTGACAGCATGTCAGAAATTATTTTTCCCCATGAACTGAAATATTTCTTTCGGCATATTCATGCACAATCTGTGCAGGATAAGCTAAAGATATATTTTACCATTTTAAAGGTGTACATCTGGTTTTTGTAGGACTCAAAAGTACCTAGAGCTTGAGTCCTAAGCAAAACTTGTAGCTTGTATGGATTATACAAATTATATAAGGAATACAGCTTTGCACATACATCTAGATGTCCCAACATATAGTGTGTGTGTGTGTGTGTGTGTGTGTATGTGTGTGTGTGCATGTGTGTGTGTATGTGTGTGTGTGTGTGTGTATGTGTGTGTGTGTTTTCTTATAAATTGAGATGGCACATGCTTGCCCCAATCAAAGATACATTGTGAAGTATTCAATTTAAATAAGGCTGTAAAACAAAGAGTACTACGGGGTTAAGATAGAATAAAGAAAAAGTAAGCATCTTGGATATGCTGACGATGGGATGCAATATGTTCATGATGGTTTCCTCTAATGAACTTGGTGACTAGGCATTTTTATAGTGATTTATATCTTGTATATTTAAGGTGTAACCAGTAGGTGGCATTATCATCAACTTTGCTTGAATACAGATCAAACCGGGCTGCTGGGAAGGTTCCTATACTGAAAGGATTACTATCAAACCATTCCTAACCACTCATGTTGTACAAAATGGAAGCTGTAACATATTGTTTAATTTGTGACTGTGTGTAGACCCTTAGCAGGTTCACCCATGAAAGTGAGCATTTCCTTCATTTACAAAGCATTGAAGCATTGAAAGGGCTGCAATCAATTTTACTACATGAAATAAGGTATCAAGGACATCTAAGGTATGTTACACAATACAGTAAAAGGTCTAAAACCTTGAGAAAGGACAATAAATGCATTCAGACTATATATTAGAATGTCACGTTTGAAAGGATGAGAACAGGAAATTAATCAAATGTTTAAATCACTTGAGTTTCCAACACTATCAAGATGTTTATTAGAAAAAAAACTCTGCAATCTCTTTTAAAATGTATTAGATATATGTAGCATTCATATTCTAATGACTATATATTATTTCATTATTATTATTATAATAGTATGTAATATCAAGTATATACAAGATAGTAGAAATGTTAAATAATATATATCGGGTGTCGATAATGTTTTATCATTATTTTGTATATTTTAATAGCAAGTCTCAATAATTGATTACTGAACAATTATGAGCCAGGGGATAAATTACTAAAAATAATTTTCTATATGGGATCTCATGGACCCATTAAAGTGTCCACTTATAATTTTAAATCACATCAAAGGTTTCTTCACTAAACTGTGAATTGTACAGAATGGACCAGGTTTTATACTAAAATAGCACAGATGGAAAATTTCTTGGTGAGTTAAGACGTTTACCATGTTGCCTATATGGGCATAAAATGTTAAATTATTTTTTCATATCTCCCCATTCCTCAGTTTTAGCTATAATAGTCGCCATGTCAGGAAGACTGAATATAACCAATTTAATTATTTTTTTTGCCAGTCTGACAGGCTTTTAAAATGTTTTCAAATTAGCTATTTTGCTTACAAATTAGTTCTCAAATACCGCTAACCCTAATCATACATATTTGAACCCTTCAGAATTCAGTGTCCTTTATTTTGTTATATTTCACACAAGGACTGAAATGTTAATATAAAAACAAAAACACACATTTTCTCACGTATTACAGGTGTTCCAAAAATATAAAAACAAAAATGGCCATATATCTTGCTAATACAGAAGGTATTTATAGGCACCCTCAATGTATTAAGTAGCAGTGCAAATTATTGCAAATAGCAACAGTATGTAAAAAGAATAACTGCATTTATACTTAATGCCCAGATACAATAAATACAGTTTAATCATATCTATCTTAAATAAATATATTTAAAATTGCTATATCAATCTTTATTAATTTTAGGAATGCTATGCTAACAGGAAAATGGTAGAAGTGATTAACTCCTCCCCCTCACTGATTGTAGGAATGTTATGACCCATTGAAACCTTTACTGGTTGAAAGTAGGGTGTAAGCTAACATATTCAGCAAATTTACATACATTATATCAGTAACCAGTGGCATTTGGCAGATATCCGTGTTCCTCTAAAGGACTTCTAATCATTCCTAAAGTATACGTGAGGGTGAGTGAAGCTTTATGGACTAAATTTCATATTGCAAAATGTATACTTTTGTAAACTGTATGTAAAATGTGAATTTTTGAAAATATTTTGAGTATTCCCAGGAAACATAAAACATGCACTAAGCTGATGGTTATATTATTTCATTTTGTTTTTATTCTGCACGAGTTTAAATTTTGACAAAGAACTTCAGTTGTATTCCAAATGGTAATCTCTTCCCAACCCTGATTCCCGTTAAATTCTTCTGTGCCTGTCTTGCCACATTTAAAGGCTCAAACCTTGGTTCAAACAGGGAATCATAGCTAATTAATAGTGAGGTTTTAATACATTGACTGAATGTGCTGTGGGAATCCTCAGGGGAAGTGTTTACTTTGCGTCCATATCTTATCATGTGTTTGGATGGGTATCATTCTCTGAGGACCTACGAGTTTGCCGCATTGTCATATAACGCAGTTTGTTTGTTTTAAAGCTCTGTAAGTAAAACAAATAAATCTTTAAAGAATGAACAAACAATGCTAGACATACACAAAACAATATATAATAATACGAAAAAATAAACAGCAAACCTGGAACGGAAAAGTATCTAGCGATATTTAGCAACAGTTACTGGATGTGTGTATTCATCTAAGAATTGTTCTGTTCTGTTCAGAGCTTCGGGCTTTTTTTTTTCTTTTCTATTTATTTTGATCGTTAAATTTAAACTGCTATATAAGACACAGCATTAAGTCTACATTACTCACAGCAAAAAAGCATCCAAATGTAATACATGGGGAAGGAAAATTCTGTTAACTCTGAGGGATTTATTATAGGGATTTAATTTCCTAATACAGAAAAGAAGTCCTTATGCACGCAGATTCATTATTAAGAGCTAAACATTATGTTCTGCTTTAAATACCAAGATCGTATTTGCAGCTACTTTAAGGAAAAAAGTAACGAAGGTGCTAGAGTCAATGTATCCATGTTTCTGAGTGTATAAATATATACTACATACAGTATAGAAAGCCTTGTGTGTGGCATGTATTATTTATCAACAGAACATTATTAAAGAATATACTCCGAGGGATTTTCATAATTACAATAATACTACCATTATAACAGTTTAACCCCACTGGATTTTACAAGTATCTATACAGGGGGATTGGAAAGCCTAAATCTGTAGGAAAATGGATGGTTAAAGGGACAAAACACGATGCACTGGTAAAACAAGTGGGCATGGCATCCAGACCATTTCATTGAGATTAAGTGGTCTGGGTTCCTATAAAGTCAGTATCATAAGGCTCTTTTTGATAATTTTTTTGAAGGACAGGTAGTAAGGCCCCGTGGTTCGTAAGAGCATTTTTATACATTTCAATGTTTTGTTGTTTTGTTTAACCATCTTATCACTAACCATTGCCAAATCAGCTGGTTATATATATATTTTTTTTCAGGATTTTCACACATTTATTTCTTTTTATGGGGAATTATACAAACATCATATTGTGTTTCTACTGTAAATAACCTATATTTGTATCCTGCTATTGCCCCCAAGTACAACAATATTACACATTAATGAATTTGCCTCTTGTTTAAAGGACAGGTAGGATCAAATAAAAAAAAATCATGCCCTAATCATGACATGCCTCTTACCATCACCATACTGAAAAACATCAAACTTTGATGATATTTATAAACCTAATCCTACCTAACCTTTAAACAAACAGAGAGATGAGGGTGCGCCTAAAGTATATAAAAGACAATATATATAATGAATAGATATAAAATAATGAAAGGATATAAAATAGAATAATAAAATATTCGGTAAAACTCACTCACACTTTTCAGAGCTAGGATCAGCTCTGATGTCGCGCACGTAAAGTGGAATCATCCCCACTTCAAGGATATGTGGAGTAGAGTTTGATAGCTGAGTGTCTGGCGTAGACTCAATGTCCAAATTGATGTTTTGTGACCCAGAAGAAGAGAATAAAATATATAGTGCTCACTGAGTATAATCTAAAATTA